TCGGCCTCTTCCTCTCTGTCCACCCTGCCAACAGCCTGCCCATGGCTTATAGTACTGCTCCTCTCCACATGCGCCTTGTGACAGTCTGCTCACCAGACCCCTGTCTCCTTCCAGAGTGTGGCAGAATAAATGCTTCCAAAGTTCAGTCTCTGAAGTCATTCATTCATTCACCAAGTACTAACTGAGCACCTGCTAGATGCAGGCACTGCCCACGTGCAGAGGATCCGGGGTCGGGAAGAAGCAGACCCAGCCCTGTCTGCGTGGAGTCTACGTTCTGCTCAGAGAGCCTGGGGTCAGCCCAGGTTCTGCTGTGGGACCCTCAATAAGAGACCCGAAGTCTCTGAGCTTCACACACTCATTCATTCGTTCATTCTTTTCAAGAAATACTTGCTTAGCGGCCGCCGTGTGCCAGGCAGTGTGCCAGGTGTTGGGGATATAGCAGTGACCGTGATGCAGTGACAGAGCCAGACACAGTCCCCCCTGTCTGGCTGGTGGGAGAACTTACACAAGAAATTCCAAGGTCAAGTGCATTGGACATGAGGCTGTGACAGGGAGCTGCTGCTTCTGTGAACTGGGTATGACCATGATGCCATCTCGGTCTCTCTCTGCTTACGAGAAACATGTTTGAGTGCCTCTAGGTGGCAGGTGTTATGTTAGGTGCTGGGGAAGCCTTAGCGGGTATGACAGACACCGTCCCTGGAAGCAGTGCTGTCAGGCCCCTGGGACACCCTTGGGGTCCCCTCCACTGGCTGAACATCTCCCTCCCAGTCCCGAGTACTTGTGGATCTGGAAGGCTCTGCAGGGGCTGGGGCACACGCTCAGAAAGCCCAGGGCTGCTGGACGCCGGATCCCCGGCTATCTCCAGTGTATTGGTCTTCTTTGCCAAGTGAGCCAGAGGACGCCGATGCTGATGGGAACTCTGTGCCCGGCTGCCAGCTGCTTCCCGGAGCTGCAGCTGCGATTTTCCAGGCGAGGCCAAGGCCCCGTTGTACCATTAGGGCCATATGACCCCAGGGAAAGCCACAAGTGTGTATCAGCAAACAGGGGGGTGCCAGGACGTTGTAGCTTTCGGTAAGGGACATCTTATCACCTGCAGACTGTGCTAGATGCAATCGCCCGCTGCTTTTGTAGAACCGCCTGACGTAGACACCGATCCTGGCCCGTCGTTGGTCAGTCTGCGCTCAGTGGGGCCCAGCTGACCTTGTGCACACTCGTCGGTTCTTTGAGTCAGGTGCAACGGAAAACAAAGGGAAGGTCTGGGCCAGGAAAAATAAAACCAAGGCCACATGCAAGAATTGGGGCAAAGACGTGGCATCAGGACAAATCCTTGGGTTCCCCCCACTCCTTTCTTTTGTCCTTTCCTCTTGTTTTCCAGCAGTTATTCACTTCAACATACTCAACGGATCTTTGGGGCACAAATTCAATGCCAGGCACTTGTATAGAGACCAAGGAAAGAGCAAGGAAGCACAACATAGCCCTTGCTCATGAGGGAAGTACATGGGAAAGGAGGAAACACTTGACAATGATACTTGGAGACAAGTTCAATGGAGAAAAAAAACAAGAGGAATAGAGCCAGGAGAGTGCTAATTTGCATAGGACGGTCTTGCATAGGACTGGTCTCTCAGAAGCAGAGGCTGAGAGATGTAAAGGAGTGAACCGGCAGGTCTCTGAAGGAGAACCGTACTGGCTGTCAGAACTACAGTGCAAAGACCCTGAGGCAAGCTCTTGTGTATTTCCACCTGGGCAGCCACACGGAGGGTCTGGAGCATGCACATGTGATTCTGTCCAGTTGTTTCCTCAACAAGTATTTACCAGGTCCAGTTAGAATTGCAGAGACAGGAGCCCTGTGCACAAGGGCCATGTAGCCCTCAGAGGCTGACAGATAACTTAGCAGGAAATTGAATGGGATTAGAATCAGCCCCAGATGTCCAGGAGCCGAGAAGTGCAGCACAAACAAGCCCATGGCGTCAGGAAAGGCTTCCTGGAAGAGGGGATGGGTAGGAGGGGCCTGGCCATGGAGTGATCCAGGCAGAGAGAACAGTGTATGCACATGTTTGGAGGTGGGGAAGCGTTCAGAGAACCCCAGATTGTCTGAAGCACAGAATGTGTGGTGTAGAAATTGTGGTTGAGGTAGAAACTGTGAACAGGGGCCAGGTCCCTGGGAGCGGAAGGTGAGAATGAGGGATAGTGTGGGGAATGGCTGGGTGGCATCTGGCCACAGGGGAGGTAACAGAAACCTAGAGGGTAAGGGTGGGGCCAGTGCTGTGGCGTAGTGGGTAAATCTGCCACCTGCAGTGCTGGCATCCCATAATGGCGTTGATTCAAGTGCCAGCTGCTCCACTTCCAACTCAGATTTCTGCTATGGCCTGGGAAAGCAGTGGAAGATGGCCCAAGTCCTTGGGTCGCTGCATCCACATGGGAGACCCGCAGGAAGCTCTTGGCTCCTGGCTTCAGATTGGCGCAGTTCCAGCTGCTGCAGCCATCCGGGGAGTGAACCAGCGGATGGAAGACCTCTCTCTCTCTCTCTGCCTCTGCCTTTCTGTAACTCTGCCTCTCAAATAAATAAATACATCTTAAAAAAGGGGGAGGGGGCTGCGCCATGGCTCACTTGGCTAATCCTCTGCCTGCAGCGCCAGAATCCCATATGGGTGCCGGGTTCTGGTCCTGGTTGCTCCTCTTCCAGTCCAGCTCTCTGCTGTGGCCCGGGAAGGCAATGGAGGATGGTCCAAGTGCTTGGGTGTCTGCACCTGCGTGGGAGACCGGAAAGAAGCACCTGGCTCCTGGCTTCGGATCAGCGTAGCTCCAGCTGTGGCGGCCATTTGAGGGGTGAACCAACAGAAGACCTTCCTCTCTGTCTCTCTCTCTCACTAATTCTATCAAAAAAAAAAAGTGAGAGTGAGAGGAAGGGACCGCGTTTAGCCTAGGGGTTAAGATGCCCACAACCCACATTGGAGTGCCTAGATTTGATTGCCAGCTCCAGCTCCTGGCTCCGGCTTCCTGCTAACGTAAATCCTGGGAGGCATCAGTGACAACTTAAGTAGCTGAGTTCCTGCCCCCTGTGTGGGAACCCTGGCCTGCATTTCTGGCTTCCAGCTCCAACCTCAGCCTAGCCCCAGCTATGCAAGTATTTGGGAGGACAGATGGAAGCTCACTCGCTCTCATTCTCTCAAATAAATAAATAAATAAATGTTTTTTTTTTTTTTTAAAGGATTGGATCAAGAAGACCCTTTAGGCAGTTGCTAGTGGCCTGAATTGGGATTGACAGAAAATAGAGTCAAGAAATATTTTGAAAAATTGGAAGGCAAGATTTGGTGATCATTGTACAAGAAGGATAAAGGGACAAAGGAAGACTTCAGAAAGGATGGAGCCAAGCTTCCGTCTCGGAAAGCAGGGTGGGCCGGGTGCCTTTGAGGACGGTCGGTTATACAATGAAGAGAAGACTCTGGGAACTGATGGTTTCAGATTTGGACCTGCTGCTGAGTTTGAGTGGTGTCTGTATCTCAGCCCGGTAGGCAACAGGGGAGATGGATCTGAAGTTCAGGAGATGAGTCTGAGCTGGGGATGGCAGTGGTCCTTGAGTATGAGGCAAGTCAACACCTCCTAGTGAGAGTACATGGAGTAACAAGAAAAATGGGACCCACCAGCCTTCTTGGGAAGCACTGAAAGAAGAGGATCCTATAGCAATAGCAGGTGGATCCCAGGAGGGGTAAGAGAATCAGAAAACATTACAGGGTAGCTAAGGAAATGAGGGTACCCAGAGGAAGCTGCAAACAACAGGACAGGAAAGCGTGCCCACTGGACTTGACTATGAGATGACCTTGGCAGGGAGGTTTAGACGCGAATGGGGGTTCAGAAAGGGATGAAGGAGCTGACTGAAGAGGAGGAAGCTTTGACTAGCATCTCCGCATCTCCTTCTCCACACTGCCCCACCCTCTGGAAAGTACCTCTGTACCCTCTACTTCTAGGAAATGAATGTTTTTGGAGTCCACATAGGAGTGAGGTCATGTGGTGTTTGTCTTTCTGTGCCTGGCTCATTTCACTTATCTGCCTGCCCTCCAGTTCACCTGTGCTGTTGCAAATGACATGATTTTTCCCCCTTTGATGGATGAATAAAATGCCATTGTGTATTGATACCACTATTTCTTTATCTAGTTATCCATTGATGGTAATCTAGGTTGATTCCGTATCTTGGCTATTGTGACTAATGCTACAATAAACACAGGAGTGTAGGTATCACTTCAACATGCTGATTTCATTTTCTGTAGATACAGATCTAGTAATGGCATTTCTGGATCATATATATTCATTTTATTTTTAATTAGTTTGAAGAACCTCCACACTGTTTTCCATAATAGTCATACTAATTTGTATTCCCCTAGAGGGCAAGGGTTCCCTTTTTTCCGTTTCCCCATCAACATTTTGATAGAAGCCATTCTAATTGAAGTGAGATCATATCATTGTTGGTCAAAGAGCTGTATTTTTTTAATTTAAAAGTATCATTTATTACCCTTTGCATACACAAAAAGTAACAATCCAAATAGACTGGTTAAGGTATTCCCTACAACTTCTGGGTGTGGGTTGGCTGACTGATGAATTGCACTCGGGTCCACAGTAACTCGTATCTGGTTCTCTACAGAGCATGGGGCTCTGCACCAACAGGAGCATGGGAGGCTGTCTTTCTTTTTTTTCCTCAAAGAAACCTTTTATTTAAGGAATACAAATTTCATAAGTACAACTTTAGGAATCTAGTGATACTTCCCACCATACCTACCCCTCCCCATACTCCCTCCCCTCCCCATACTCCCTCCCCTCCTCCTCCCTCTCCCATTCCCAGTCCCATTCTCCATTAAGATTCATTTTCAATTAACTTTATACACAGAAGACCCAGTCTATACTAAGTCAAGACTTCAACAGTTTGCACACCCACACATACACACACACACAACTGAGAACAGATTTTACAGTTAACTCTCATAACACAACTCACTGAAAGCACTGTATTAATTCATATTTTTTCAACATAGCTGTACTACTTTATATTCTACTTTCTAGAGCGTGCATAAGTTACCTTTTCTCCACATGCTCAGCAATATTTTGTGATCCTTTGATGGTAGCCATTCTAAGTGAGAGGAGCTTATAGCTCATTGTTGGTCAAAGGATTCATAATTACTTTGAGATAGGAGGAATACATTTTAATAGATCTATTATATGTCAAAGTGACTACAGTTATTGTTGATATAGTCTTGAAAATGCAAAGAAAGTGGGAATTAGGTGCCCTCAGTACAAAAACTAACTGTGAGATCATGAGTTTGTTAACTAGCTAGATTTAACAATTCCACAATGTATATATACTTAAAATGTTATATACAACAAAAAGCATATAATGTTAGCTGTCAACTTTTATAAAATTAAAAACAAGTATATCCTTAAAGTGCCTAAAAATAACAAGAAAAGGGGGGTGGCTTCTTCATCAGAAGTTGGGGTGTGAGGAGCAGAGGATGGCAGTGAATACTGCGTGCAGCAGAGGCAGGAGCAAGGTCAGGTGTTGTGGCTCAAATGTTCTTGAGGTTAGGACACCTGTTAAGCGTGGTAGTGAGGTATGTGGATGAGGGCCACAGCAAAAACCAGTTAAGAGGACGGAGAAGGTTAACAGTGGCTAATGGAGAGAAGGGAGATGAGTTCTCAATCCATCTGAAGTGGATCAGTGGTCTATTTTGTGGTTCCGGTTATAAATTCCACATTTGGAGAATTTTCCTCCAACTGAACTGGGAGTAGAGAAGACAGTTCTAGTACTTTTTCTCTGTTCAGAATGAGGATTTACTTCCAGGTGCTCCCAATGTAAAGGGGCCCATGCCCCTTGTTTTCAGTGGTTGGGCCCCAGAGGCGTCCTGGAGAATCAGAGGAGAGGCAGTGACCACCTCTTCTGTGGCAGTGTTGTCTCTTTCATTCATCCCGTGATTTCCACGATGCCACGAAAGCCCAGCCCAGCCTCGAGTTTAGAAGTCCAAGGTCTTCCATAACCTCTTCTTGGTTCCATACCTTCCTGTCTCTAGGGTAGCTCCCTGTCAAAACGTCTGGAAGAAAAGCTGTTCTGATGCTGTTTGTGTCCAGAGGCCCTTAGCTGTCCATTGCCGTTCTCTCACCAACCAGCCATTCCCAACTCGTCCACACTCAATATCTGACACTGGGTAGATTCCGCAGTCCGGGAACGAGAAACATCTCTCCCCCTTCCCTTGTGCCTTCTTCTGCTCCTGCTGGCCCCACGTTGAGTGGCATCCGGACAGAAGCAAAAGCACTCCAATGTGACTACTTGAGAACACAAGACACATTGGAAATCCATTGTGCAAACAAGTGTATGTTTGATTTCTCTCCACTTCCTTTGAGTATTAAGCTTCCTTTTGACGAGTGTTTGATTTCTGGTAATAAATATGGCTTCACTGGTTTATTGTGAGGATTAAATGTGAGAGGTAATGTCTGCAAAGCACTCAACAATGCCCATTGTATTCAGTGCATATTGCTATTGTGTATAGAGAAGCATTTGCATGAAGGTGGGACTGCTGGAAGGGTTATACTGAGTGTAGGTAGGGCAAAGGGCCCCCTTCTTTCCACCATCCTTTGTGGTAAGTCACTTATCTCACCCACACTCAACAAACCTTGTGTGTGCCTGGGAGATAAACTCCAATCGCACCTCAGCACCAATCATGGAGAGCCACGTGGGTAGAAATTGCAATAAAAAGCCAGCCCACGCAGGTTGCCTTCCCATGGCTGGCCAAAGGAGGAAAACTGCCTTGTTCTCAAAGGTGAGTCCTGCTCCGACCCCAGCAAGCTTTCTGCTAATCTTCGGGTTTCCCACTTTTGAGTGCCTGGCATTGCATGCTTCTGGAAACTTGCAGGACCTAGCAAGGATGTGGACTCTGGCCATTGTCAAGTGCTGCAGATGTCACTCTGTGTTAGGGTGGTCCCAGCCACCTGCTGGCTGCTCCTGGCCTAGAGATGCCACCCTTCCCCTTGCCTCAGACACCTGGCCAGGAATAATGGCTCTCCTTGGATTCATCTCTAAGAGCTTCCAGTCCTGGGTGCCCACCTGTTTCTGTTCTCTCACACCATGCCCATCATTTGCCTTCCAGAACCAGATCTCTGTCTTCAGTGGGAGTCCTCCAGAGACTTCCAAAGATTTGTCCTTTTCGGGAAAGAGTTTCCCAGAGGAGTAAATTCCATTTGAGTGCTAGCAGGCTTTGCTACAGTATTTATCTATTCATCCTTTCTATTATTTACTGGGTGCTCCTTGTGTACCAGAATCTGTCTGGGGCAAGGGACATAGGACTCAATCTAATGGGATGCTACTCTCCTGGAAATCTACATGGATAAAGGACACTTTAGGCTCCTAACAGAATCTGATGCTTAAAACTAAGAAAGGAGCCGGCACCGCGGCCTTGCGGTGCCGGCACACCGGGTTCTAGTCCTGGTTGGGGCGCTGGATTCTATCCCGGTTGCCCCTCTTCCAGGCCAGCTCTCTGCTGTGGCCAGGGAGTGCAGTGGAGGATGGCCCAAGTCCTTGGGCCCTGCACCCCATGGGAGACCAGGAGAAGCACCTGGCTCCTGCCTTCGGATCAGCGTGGTGCGCCGGCCGCAGCACGCTGGCCATGGCGGCCATTGGAGGGTGAACCAACAGCAAAAGGAAGACCTTTCTCTCTGTCTCTCTCTCTCTCACTGTCCACTCTGCCTGTCAAAATAAATAAATAAATAAATAAAAAAAACTAAGAAAGGGCAGCTGGACTATTTCCTGTAGGCATTTATAAGCACAGCAATCCTCTTCCTCCATCCAGTCTCCACAGAGCCACTTCCTCCACCTGAGCAGGAGCCAGCCGCTTCTAGAACATTCCACAGTACACACCAGCTCTAAGCTTGTCCAGTTTTCCTGCTGTCAACTTCATCTCCCTTTCCTGCTCTTATCATTTCATTCCATTTCTACAAGTCACATCTGCTTCGAAACAGTAGGAGGGGTCTTCCACATTGTCATAGAAAATGAGTAGCATGAAATGAACTCTGAGTGAATTTCAAATTTGTTTTGCACCAGAATAAACGCATCTTTTAATTCCTTTTTTATTTGAGCATTTTCAAGTGCCCTCATACAACTCTTAGTGAAGAAAGCCAACAATCCCTTTCTGAGACCGTGGGCCTGTGGTTATTAGCAAGCAATTTAACTTCCAGCACATTGCTTGCACATACGAGGGGCTCACTAAATATTTTTTGAACTAGCATACCCTGAGTTTTAACTGCCTTATCTATAGAATGGGAGTACTAGTTCTTTTCCTGTAGGTTGGATCAGAGCCTTAAATGAGATCATGTATGTGAAGGGGTCGCCTACAAGTTGAGTTGTATCATGAGTACTGAACTGAAGTGTGTTCCTGTGTTATTTGGCAGCAAAGATGAGCACCTCTGTTGTCCTGAACTCACCGAAGTCATTGCTTTCCGTTGCTGCAGGTGTATGGAGAGTCTGCACGCTGCAGAGTGACCTGCACGATGCACCCGAGGGGAAAGATGGCGGGCTCTGACCTCCTGTGGTTGGCCTTGGCTTCCTGCACCCTGACCCTGGCCTGTGCATTGCAGCAAGGTGAGTCCTCTGCTCACCCAGGATCTCAGATGCCCAGGGAGATGTGGGGCAGAGAGCAGGAAAGTGCAGAGAAGCTGGGTCAGGTCAGTAAGAGGAATGAGTGGGCTTAAAGCAAAGACCCAGAGACAGGGCGAAGGGGAACATGAAAGAAAAGGGAATGGAGTCAGTCTCTCAAAGAACCAGATGGGCCACTGCCCTGGAAGAGCAGCAGGAGCTGGTGAACTTGACTTCCCATGCCTTTCTGTGCAAGAGCAGAGAGCCTGGAGTGGGACAGAGGAGGACATCCATCACTCAGTCACCTGTTTTTGGCAAAAGCCCTCTCCATCACCTGTGTCAATTTGCTCATCTGCATAAAAGGGAGGGTTAGATTTAATGGTCTCACCCAAAGACACGTGAATTGGGCAACTTGGAGAAAGGCTCAAGATCAGGATGCAGATTTCAACCTGCCGAAGGGGTAGGGTGGGAACCTGAGTCAGTGGCCTCTGATGGGAAAGCATGGGGTGTGCAGGAAATAATCCCAGAATCACAAATGGAGCCATTTCCTTCATACAGGAGTGAGCAAGGCTTGCAAATCTTTTTCCTAAAATGCCCCTCTGGCCTGAATGGTAAGAAGGCCATCCTGTGAGTTTACTTAGTCATTCAGGCACTCACACTATTGGACAATGGGAAGCAAAGAGAACTAGCTTAGGATTGGTGCTGCACTTGGCGTTTTATATACATTTTCTCATTCAACAGTCTACCAACCAGATCTTTTAGGCTTTACTTCCCAGATGAGACATACATATCCCAAGTTGATTCTGGGAGTACCTGGCAAGGTCTGAAACATTTTAGTGATTACGTATCTATTTTCATGCATGTGAAAAATATTAATAGTACATCTATGTTATCAATGGTATCAGTCCTTTTATAAAACGGTTTTGTGAAGGGAATCGTTGCGAGAAACATTGAGTCAGTAAGAAGCCAGGTGGATGCAGGTGTGGAAACATGACCCAGTGTGTGGGAAGGACATTTCTGGGAACCATTAGCTCACAGGGGTGGTTTTACAGGTGAGCTTCATGAGAGTGAAATCAGCTGCCATGGTCACCTGGCCAGCAGGTGTGGTGGTGCTAGGCGTAGACTCAGCCTGGCCAGCCTACGGTCTCCCCTCCTCATTTCTCTGCTTCATCCACCATAGTCCCTGAAAATGTCAAAATCCAAACAAAACACGAAAGGTCACCAACCAGCACTGGTCCTGTTGGAGAGGAGCTTCTCCATTGGAGGTGATTTTGCTCTCCAGGGAGACATTTGATGATGCTTGGAGATGCTCTGGGGGGTACGACTGGCATTGAGTGGGCAGGGACCAGGGATTCTCCCAAATACCCTACAAAGCACAGGATGGCACCCACAAAGGATGATCCAGCCAAAATGTCAACCATGATGAAGAGGAGAAATCCCGTGTAAGGCTGATGTGGCAAAGTATCTGTGTGATTTTGACAGGCTAGGGTCCTTAGCATATCCAAAGTGGAGTGTGGAGACGGACAGAAATAATGGAAGCTGGGGGTTGGCTCAGCGACCCTAATCCCGCTCTGCTGCTTCTCTAGGTAACAGAAGCCCTCGAGACGTCCATTCCCAAGTGCAGTACTTGTCATGTGGAGACCCTGGCACCTCAGAGGCTGATGCCTGTTTTGACCCCTGCGAGAATTACCAAGAAATAAATGACACGACCCGAAGCACGGAGCACGAAGGAGGAACCCAAAGAAACCAGGCATGTGACAATGACTTGATTGGCTGGTACCGCTTTGTCGGAGGCGGAGGAGTGCAGATGCCAATCAGTTGTGTGCCTATGTTCCATTGCCAAGCAGACGCCCCCGTGTGGATGTCCGGGGACCATCCCAATGTCGAGGATGGCATTGTCAATCGCACTGCCTGTGCCCACTGGGCTGAGAACTGCTGTTTCTGGGAGTTGGTGGTGCAGGTGAAGGCCTGCCCGGGTGGGTACTACGTGTACCAGCTGGAGGGCACCCCCACCTGCAACCTGAGATACTGCTCAGGTGAGTGGCAGTGGCCCCACACAGTTGTAAGGTGCCCAGGGTGCAGGAGTGTGGGGGAGCAGGTGAGGAGACCACACAGGACAGCCGGGATGCAGCCCCCAACCCCACTCTCCACTGAGAATGTAGCCCAAGGGTGGCTGGTCTTTCACCCTTTCAAGTAAAGCCAGGCATTCTGATGCAAGGGTGAAACCTCCCGATCTATAAATGTGTGTAGCATACTGCCAAGACCCCAGGTGTGTTCTGATCCTCATTCCATTAAGCAGTCCAATTTACCTCTGTGAGCCTTTGGTTTTCTGATCTGAGAAACAATTAATAACAAAGATAACAGCTGACACAGTGCTCCCAATGCACCTGCTGGTTGTCTAAGCTCATTTAACCCTCTCACCAGCTGCATGAGATAGGTGCTATTTAATTACCCCCCAGGAGAGGTCAGGGCCACAGAGAGATTAGGGAACTCTCCCAATAGCACAGAGCAGGAAGAGCTGCGGTTTGAACCCAGGCACTCTAGCCCCAGACGCCATGTATTTAACCACTGTGCTGTCCTGGCTCTCATGACCATGAGGACTCAAGGAGCTAACTCAGGGAGAGAGCTTACAACAGTGCCTTGCCTGTAGCAAGTGTTTAGACAGAAGCTCTGGGGTCCTCACTCTGCTGGACTGGGAGTCAGGAAGTCTGAGTTAGAGGCTTGATCCTTCCACCAAATGTCATACAACCTTGGCAAGACTCCTGTGTCCTGGTGACATGAGAAGGTTGGACCTGGGGGCCTTGGACCCATCATGTTCTGCACCTTGATTCGCTTTTTCCATGCCCCATCCCCTAGGCCAGTGCCAGGAAACCTGCCGCCCTGAAGAGGAATGCCGGTACCAGAATGGTGCCTGGGGCTGCTTCTGCACACGGAACCTCAGTGACTCTGGTGAGTGGCTCACAGGGCTGGTGGCTGCCACCTGCAGTGGGCAGAACAGGAGGGGCAGAGCATCAGAGGGTCAGGACCAGGAATGGACCAGAGTTAGGGGCATTTGAACTGAAGTTGGAGGAGTGCAGTCCCTTGGAAAGCTGGGCTGTGGTGTGCACCGTGGGCCGTGGGTATGATGGGCAGGAGCAGCTGGGGGCTGTGGAGCAGGAAGCGCCTTGGCTTTCCTTGGAGACTCTGCTCAATGGATGGATGAGGCCCCGGGGGGGTCAGGGCTGTTTTCTGGGGAGCAGGCCCATCTCAGAGCCAGACACTGGGCTTTGAGGATGCCCTCCCTGTTCTTGGATAGGCTCCAAGGGCAGCCTCGGCTTCCTCAGTGGCCTGCAGAATGGTGGGTCCCCCTTGCTTGCCTCTGTGGTTGGGCTCCCATGAGCTTCTGCACCTCTCCACCCCTACCTCCTCCTGACCTGAGTTCTTGTACCTTGGAACATTGTTCCTCTATGAATTCACCATCCTCTCTTTTCCATTTCGACACTTTTGCCTCTGCTGTTCTCTTAGCCGGGAATGTCCTCATTTGCTTCATTCACCTGCAGAACTCACAGCCTAGTGTGAATCCTTCTGTTATCTGGAAAATACATCTTTATAAAAACATTATTGATTAGAGAGAGAGAGAGAGAGAGGGATCTCTAATCTACTGGTTCATTTCCCAAATACCCATAAATAATGGATGAGGCTGGTCCATGTTGAATTGTTGAATTCAGAAATCTGGAACTCAATCTGAATCTCCCACATAGGTGGCAGGAACCCAACTACTTGAGATATCACCTGCTGTCTCCTGTAGAGAGCACTAGCAGGAAGCTAGAATGGAGAGTGGAGCTGGGACTTGAACCCAGGAGCTCCAATATGGGCTGTGTGTGCCCCAAGTGGTATCTTAGATGCTGCCCCAATGACTGCCCCTGTCAGCAACTTTATCACATTGGATTATAATATACTGTTGCTATTTTATGCTGATGCTTATACAAGCCCAAGGACTCCTCATGGGCCAAGTCAGTGTTTCATTAAATTTTGTGTTGATTGTACCTAGTACCTGGAGAAGTGCTTGGTAGATACATACTCAATCAATGCATTCATGAATACAATAGCAATTGTATTTCTATTTGCTTACTAGCTGTCTCCCTATTAGAACCTTTCTCAAAAAGAGTATTTTGTCAGATTTGATAAGTCTTGTATCTTCAGTGCTTCGATGATAGGAGATGTTCAAGAAGCATTTGCCAAATGAATGAGATGGATGAATTTGCTGAATGAAATGAGATGGCTGTGAATCAGATCCGATGTGTTGGCATCACAAACTAGTGCATGTCTACCTTTGATTCTAGTCTGGAAGGAATGGTCAGCCTGTTCCCTCTAGGATCCTAACTCCGGAAGAACTAGACAGGAGAATCTTAGCTCAATCTGCAGATAGGATGCTTGGAAATCTTGGACCAGGGCCCTCTTTGAACTTTCACCTATTGCCAGCCTGAGTATGAATTCCATCTGGGTCTCAGGCCCCTTCCAGTCCTCCCAGCCTCCTATTGGACATGGTGACTTTGACTCTGCCTACTTTTTCCAGACCCCTGACCACTCTACCTACCTTCCTCTTGGCTTTTCAGATATCGAGAATCTGAAGCCTGAACTGGAGTGTGGGACCACTGAGATCACATTGAGTACTAACAAGTCTTTGCTGGAAGGTCTGTGTTTGGGGGAAGATGTCACTGGCTACCTTCTAGACCGGGGCTGCAGCAGCATTCAGCGAAAAGAGGATAGTGACTGGATAAATGTGACTGTTCCTCTCCAGGATAGTGACTGTGGGTTCATTGTGGAGGTAAGTGACCTTCACTCCTGGGCTGCCAGAGGTGGGGAGTTGAGCTGGTGGGACCCATCACAATTACTGTGAGATCTGGGGCAAGTTACACCCTCCTTGGGTCTCCAGGATTGGTCCATGTGCTTAGAACTTAGAGCTTAGAGGTCTACCATGCGAGCTTAATAAATGTAATTTATGGTTATGATGATTGTGCGAGAGATGTGCAGAGGAGTGAGTGTGATGGTTCCTGCCTCTTATGGAGGGTCAGTCATTCATAGTTCCAGTATTAATCCTGGGGTCCTCATTCCCCCTTCCACAAAGTGTCAGTGCCATGGGGAGGAGGAGGTCCTTTTATCTCCTTGAGATGAGAGGGCAGGGCAGCTGTGCAGTTGAGAACACTGACTCTGGGATCAGACAGTTCTGTGTGTGAGGCACACCCACACATAGACATGTAAGATGTATGTGGTTTTGTTTTTATGCCAAAGGGAAACGAGACCCATGTCATCTACAAAAACACTCTCTCCTTTGTCAACAATTTAATCAGCAGTGGCACCACCCTCAACATCAACTTCCAGTGTACCTACTCAATTCACATCAATGCCAGCCTCCCGATTGCTCTGGAGCCCATTGAAAGGTATGGCTCTGATCCTTGATCCATAACCTTGGCATTGGTTACATGCATTTGAAGCACAGCTCATGATATCTGCATGATGCTACCCACACCTTTGGGTGCTTCCACTCATTCAATCATTCATTGCACAAGTATTGGTTTATTTTAGTTGAGGTTATTCATTATGAGCGATGCACACATAGAATATTTTGTGTGGATATTAAAGATGATTGTTATGAAGAAATGAAGCAACATGACAGTGCTTATAAATGTGCTATGGAATACAAATACAGAACAAGCTTATTCATCTTGAGGATGAAAGACGCTGAATAACTAATTGTACCGATAATTGCTCACAAATGTGAATGATCAAGGTAGAAGAAACAAGGGGGAATTTAGGGAGCAAGGAAGTGGGGTGGGGATGGTGAGGGCAAGAAGCCTGCCCTGCGGACGTGGGCTTTAAGCCTAGATCACCTCTACTGTTGTAAAAAACCACACCCTTCCCCTTCAGAAATTTTGGGGTGGGATTTTTTTTCCTAAAGATTTATTTGTTTATTTGAAAAGTAGAATTATAGAGGGGAGAAGGGAGAGAGGAGAGAGAAGAGAGGAGAGAGAGAATATCTTCCATCCACTGATTTACTTCCCAAATGGATGCAGTAGCTAGAGCCAGGCCAGTCTGAAGCCAGGAGCCCAGAGCTTCTGTTGGGCCTCTCGTGTGGGTGCAAGGCCCCACATGCTTGGGCCATCCTTCTGCTGCTCTCCCAGGAGCATTAGCAGGGAGCTGCATAGGAAGAGGGGCAGACATGGTGCCCACATGGGACACTGGCTTTGCAGGAAGCAGCATAACTTGTCACAACACAACTCCTGTCCCATATACTCAGTTTTGCCAGCGCCATTTGTTGAGACTATTGTTACTCTACTGAATTGTCTGAGCACTTTTGTCAAAAATCAGTTGGCTGTATGTATGTGGATCGATGTCTGGGCTCTCTATTCTGTTCCACTATCTATGGATAGGTTTTTTTTTTTTTTTTTTTTTTTTTACTATAATTACTATAGCTTTGTAGTATGGCTTTTAAACAGGTATTATGATGCCTCCAGTTTTTGTTTTTTTTTTTTTTTTTTGGCTCAGGATCACTTTGGTTATTTGGGGTCTTTTGTGATTCCATATGAATTTTGGTGTTGTTTTTTCTAATTCTTTAAAGAATGCTATTGGTATTTTTATAGGGATTGCATTGAATCTGTAAATTTCTTTATGTAGTATAGACATTCTAATGATATTGATTCTTCCAATCCATGAGCAAGGAGTATCTCTCCATTTTTTGTGTGTCCTTGATTTCTTTCATCAATGTTTGATAATTCTCATTGCAGAGATCTTTTACTTCTTTGGTTAGATGCATTCCTAAATATTTGATTTTTTGTGGCTATTGTGATGGGATTTCTTCCTTGATTTCTCTTTCTGTGCATTCATCATTAGTTTACAAAAAAGCTGCTTTTTGTGTGTTTACTTTTAACTGCAACTGTACTGAATTGGTTTATCCATTCTAACAGCTTTTTGGTGGGTTGTTTAGGTTATTCCTTGTACAACATCATGTCATCTGCAAACATGGATAAGCTAGCTCTCTTTTCCAATTTTGATGCCCTTTATTTCCTTCTCCTCACTAAGTGTTCCTGCTAAAACTTCCAGCACTATATTGAATGCGAGTGGTGAACGTGGACATCCTTTTCTTGTTCCAGATCTGGGGAGGAATGGCTTTCAGTTTCTCCCTATTTGGTATGATATTAGCTGTTGGCTTATGATATATAGCCTCTACAATTTTGAGGAACATTCTTTCTATACCTAATTTGTAGAGGGTTTTTATCATGAAAGGGTGCTAAATTTTATCAAATGATTTCTCTGCATCTATTGATGACCATATGGTTTTTGTTTCTTATTCTATTAATGTGATTTATGATGTTTATTGACTTGAGAATGTTGAACCACCCTTGCATTTATAAATCCCACTTGATCATGATGTGTGACCTTTTTGATGTGATTTTGGATTCAATTTGCTGGTATGTTGTTGAGAATCTTTGCATCTGTGTTATTAAGGATTTAGGTCTGTAGTTTACTTTTCATGTCATGGCTTTGGTATCAAAGTAATGTTGGTCTCATAAACAGAGTTTGTCAGAATTCCACCCTGTTCAATATTTTTTTAAATATTTATTTTTTAATTTTTTTTTAGGCTGTATTTATTCATTTGAAAATCAGAGTTACACAGAGAGGAGAGGCACAGAGAGAGAGGTCTTCCATCCACTGGTTTACTCCCCAATTGGCTACCACAGCCAGGAGCTGTGCTGATCCAAAGCCAGGAGCCAGGAGCTTCTTCCGGGTTTTCCACGTGGGTGCAGGGGCCCAAGGACTTGGGCCATCTTCCACTGGTTTCCCAGGCCATAGCAGAGAGCTGGATCAGAAGTGGAGTAGTCAGGACTCTAACCGGAGCCCATATGGGATGCCAGCACTGCAGGCAGTGGCTTTACCCACTACACTGCAGCACTGGCCCCTATTTATTTGAAAGGCAGAGTTACAGAGAAGTAGAGGCAAAGAGAGAGAGAGGTCTTTCATCTGTTGGTTCACTCCCCAGATGGCCTCAATGGCTGAAACTGCACTGATCCGAAGCCAGGAGCCAGGAGTTTCTTGTGGGTCTCTCAGGTGCAGGGCTCCTAGGACCTGAGCCATCTTCTACTGCTTTCTCAGGCCACACCAGGGAGCTGGATTGGAAGTGGAGCAGTCAGGACTCGAACCTGTGCCCATATAGGATGCTGGCACTGCAGGCAGCAGCTTTACCTGCTATGCCACAGCGCCAGCCCCACCCTGTTCAATCTTTTGGAATAGTTTGAAGAGTATTGGAGTTACTTTCTCTTTGAATGTTTTGTAGAATTCAGTAATAAAATCATCAGGTTCCAGACTTTTCCTTGATGGAAGACTTTTGATTACTGCTTCAATCTCATTGCTTGTTATGGGTCTGTTTAGATTGTCCATATCTTCCTGATTTAATCTTGGTAGATGATACGAATCCATGAATTTATCCATCTCTTTGAGCTTTCTCAGTTTGCTAGCATACAGTTCTACACAATAGTTTCTCATGATCCTTTGTATTTTAGTGGGGTCAGTTGTAATGTTTCCCTTTCTGTCTCTAATTTTATTTATTTGAGTTTTTCCTCTTCTTTGTTAGATTGGCTAGACTAACAACTTTTTGTTTTGTCGACCTTTTGTATTTTTTCCTAGTTTCAATTTCATTTATTTCTGCTCTGATCCTTATTGTTTCTCACCTCCTCCTGATTTTGAGTTTGATTTGTTCTTATTCATCTAAGTCTTCAAGATGCATTATTAGATCTTTAGTTTGAGACATTTCTTTTTTAAATTTAAGTACATAATGCTATAACTTCCCTCTTTTTTTTAACTTTTATTTAATAAATACAAATTTCCAAAGTACAACTTTTGGATTATAGCGGCTTTTTCCCCCATATCCTCCCTCCCACCCGCAACCATCCCATCTCCTGCTCCCTCTCCCATCCCATTCACATCAAGATTTGTTTTCAATTATCTCTATATACAGAAGATCAATTTAGTATATACTAAGTAAAGATTTCAACAGACTTCCCTCTTAATACTGCTTTTGCTGTATCCCACAGGTTTTGGTATGTTGTGTTTTCATTTCATTTATTTCTAGAAAGTTTTTCGATCTCCTTTTTAATTTCTTCAATGACCCTTTGATCATTCCATAGCATGTTGTTTAATGTACAAGTATTTATGAGTGTTCTGTTATTCTTCTTGTTGTTGATTTCTAGTTTTACTCCTTTATGGTCTGAGAAGATACATGGTATGATGTCAGTCTTTTCAAATTTACTGAGATTGATTTGTGGTCTAATATGTGGTCTATCCTAGAAATGTTCCATGTGCTGATGAGAAGGTGTGTTCTGTAGCTATTGGGTGAAATGTCCTGTAAATGGCTCTTAGGTCCATTTGCTCAATGGCATGTTTCAACTCCAATGTATCTTTATTGATTTTTTTTGTCCATTGATGTGAGTGGGGTGTTGAATTCACCCACTATTATATAGGATCTCTTTAGATCTAATAGTATTTTCTGTATATATCTGGGTGGTCTTGTGTTGTGTGTGCATATATATTTATGATTGTTACATCTTCTTGCTGAATTGAACCTTTTATCAAAATAAGATGTTCTTTTTAATCTCTTTTTAGTTTTTGATTTAAAGTCTGTTTTATCTGATCAGGATAGCTATGCCTGCTTGCTTTTAGTTTCCATTAGCCTGGTGTATCCTTTTCCAATCCTTCACTTTCAGTCTGTGTGTGTTTTTGTGTGTGAAGTGAGTTTCTTGTAGGCAGCATTTAGTGTGATCATGGGTTTTTGTTCATTCAGCCAACCTAAGTCCATTTACATTCAAAGTTAGTGTTGAAAGATAAGAAGTAAGACCTGTCATTTTGTTGATTGGATAATTACTCCACCTGCTCTGTTCACGAATTTGGTGATGTCATGCGTTTTCATGATGTTTACTTCTTTTTTTAAGATTTATTTTATTTATTTGAAAGAGTTACAGAGAGAAGTAGAGACAGAGAGGTCTTCCATCTGCTGGTTCACTCCCCAGATGGCCACAATGGCCAGAGCTGCACCCATCCAAAGCCAGGAGCCAGGAGCTTCTTCTGAGTCTCCCACACGGGTGCAAGGGCCCAAGGACTTGGGCCATCTTCTGCTATCCCAGGCCACAGCAAAGAGCTGGACCAGAAGAGGAGCAGCTGGGATTAGAACTGGCGCCCAGATGGGATGGCAGCACTTCAGGCCAGGGCTTTAACCTGCTATGCCACAGCGTTGGCCCTATGATGTTTATTACTTCTTCTTCTTCTTTTTTTTTTTTTTTTGATAATTCACCAGGCCTAAATGAGATTTATTCCTGGCATTCAGGGATGGTTCAATATATTTTTTTCTTTTTTAGCTTATTTAATAAATATAAATTTCCAAAGTACAGCTTATGGATTACAGTGGCTTTTCCCCTCCTAATAACTTCCCTCCCACCCACAACCCTCCCATCTCCCGCTCCCTCTCCCATTCCATTCACATCAAGATTCATTGTCAATTATCTTTATATACAGAAGATCAATTTAGTATATATTAAGTAAAGATTTCAACAGTTTGCACCCACACAGAAACACAAAGTGTAAAGTACTGTTTTAGTACTAGTTATAACATTAATTCACATTGTACAACACATTAAGGACAGAGATCCTACATGGGGAGTAAGTGCACAGTGACTCCTGTTGTTGACTTAACAAATTGACGTTCTTGTTTATGGCGTCAGTAATCACCCTAGGCTCTTGTCATGAGTTGCCAAGGCTATGGAAGCCTTTTGAGTTTGCCAACTCCGATCATAAGATGATGTTTACTTCTAATGCAGGATGCCCTTCAGAATTTCTTGTAAGGCTTCTCTGGTACTGGTGAATTCTGTTTTTGCTTCTCTGGAAAATACAGTATTTCTCCTTCACTTTTAAAGGATAGCTAGATATAATATTCTTGGTTGGATGTTTTGTCCTCTTAAGATCTTGAATGTATCATTGCACTCTTTTCTAGCCTGTAGGGTTTCCGCTGAGAAGTCTGATGTTCATCCAATTGGTTTTCCTTTATATGTAACTTGATGCTTTTCTCTTACTGTCATTAGAATTCTCTTCTTGTCTTTAACTTTTTTTAAAAAAGATTTATTTATTTGAAAGGCAGAGTAACAGAGAGGCAGAGGCAGAGAGAGAGAGAGAAAGAGAATGAATCTTCCATTTGCTGATTCACTCCCCAGATGACCACAATAGCCGGAGCTGAGCCAATCTGAAGCCAGGAGCCAGGAACTTCCCCCAAGTCTCCCACGTGGGTGCAGGGGCCCAAGTACTTGGGCCATCTTCTACTGCTTTCCCAGACTATAGCAGAGAGCTGGATCAGAAGTGGAGCAGTCGGGACTCGAACTGGCACCCAAATGCGATGCCGGCATTGCAGGCAGTGGCTTTACCCGCTATGCCACAGCGCCAGCCCCAGTCTTTAACTTTTGAAATCTGATGACAATATGCCTTAGAGAAGACCTTTTCTGGTTGATCTGCTTGGGGTTCTTTGAGCTTCTTGTATATGCATATCCATGTCTCTTTCAAGACCTGGGAAATTTCTAACTATTATTTCATTTAGCAGGCTCTCAATGCCTTTTGCCTTTTCTTCTCATTCAGGAATACCTATAATATGCATATTTGGTTGTTTAATGGTATCCTATGTTTTGTGTAGACTTTATCCATTCTTTTTAATTCTTTTCTGTTTATTTTGTCTGATTGGGTTATTTCAAAATTCTTGTCCTCAAGGTCAGAAATTGTTTCCTCCACTTGGTCTATTCTGCTGTTAAAGCTCTCAATCTTTTTTTTTTATTTCACCAAGGAAGATTTCATCTCAAATATTTCCATTTGGTTCTTGTTAATGAGTTCTATTTCCTTGGTAAGATTTTCATTCATGTCCCTCATTGATTTCCTCATTTCATTAACCTGTCTCTCTGAATTCTCATACATCTCATTGAGTTTCCTTACAGGCATTATTTTGAATTCTATATATTGTCATGTAATAGATTCCCTTCAGTTAAGGATCTGATTCTGGAGGAGTATTGTGTTCTTTGAAGGTGTCATGCTACCTTGCTTCTTCATGACTCCTGTGTTCCTATGTTGACGTCTGCCCATCTGGTGTGTTTGTACCTTCTTCATGAAGTAGGTTTTAAGGTAAAAGAGTTGATGGTTTAGTTGTGGTCTATCTGGAATGCAGGATATCACTTGGCTTGTTGCTTTGGTTTTGTATCTAAGTGAGCCCAGGAGTGTAGTCCCTGAGTGATTTCTTTCATCTTAATCAATGTTGGCTGTGTCTATAAGTGACACAGTGGACTTGTCTGCTGCAGTTCATGAGGACAGAAGTGAGGCTTTGAGATGAATAAGGGTTTCCCTGGGTGTGTATCTTTGGTGCACAGAGAAGTGAATGTGATAGCTGGGGCCTTACTCTTGGTGCTAAGGGAGACAGCAATAGCTGCCCTCTTGTCCTACTGGCAAGCCTAAGTGTCCTGGCTTGTGGCACCAATTGCTGTGGCTCTAGGACTGTGTAATATGGATGGACCCCTCCTTAGGTCCTGCTGGAGTGTCCAACTGGTGCTGTCGCTATAATACCAACAGCCCTGGTCCTAAGCCTACAGGATGTGAACTGGGCCCTGTTCAGTCCTATGGGGTGACCACAAGGTGCACAGGAGATTTTACTCTGGAGGGTATGAGTCCAGAGAGGTGGAGTGCACTTAGGTTCTTCCTTATGTCCACTGGGTAGATTCCATTGGCACTGAGAAATTTAGAATGAATTGTTACAGTCCTGGTCCAGTATGGGCTTCCCAGAGGCAGCTTACCTTGCTATGCCACAACACCTGCCCCCTTACCTTCATTTTTGAAAGATATTTTGCAGGGTATGGAATTACAGGCATTTTAAGTCCTTTCAGGAAAGAGGATAAATCCACTTCCTGTAGTCCAGCTTAGCTGGAAGAAGTCTCCAAGTTGCAGGCTGTAATGTGGTCATTACCCAGATCTCCCAGGGTGGGAGCAGATTTTTTTTATGGGCTTATTCCAGTGTTAGCCCCAGAAGCTAAGGTGAATCCGCCTTACCCATGCGGAGTGCCTGAGTATAGCTCTGAGCCTAATTCTCAAAAACTCCCGTAACTGCAGGATGCAGGGGACTGTCCTTGGTTCCTTGCATAGCCCTGGCTCTGATTATGATGCTGCTAGGGGGACAGAGGCGCACTGTGTGACATTTTGCTGCTGAGTGTGGCACTCTGTGAGAATGGGGAAGGGGAAGAAGCAAAGTGGCTGTTCTGCTCTGAGCTCAGCGGTTGCTGAGACCCCAGTCAGCTCTCCAGGCTGAAGTCAGTGGGTAACTGAGGAATTCCGTCTCAGATAAAACTGAGTGCGGGGGGCATGCGGCAGTTTCTTCCTACCTTCACATGGTAAGATGGCTGCTGGCTGTGACTCCTCCTCTCCTGTGGAGTCTTTTTTTTTTTTTTTAATTCCTGGAAACTTTTTGTCATCAGACCCCTGGGAACGTCATCCTTCCCTTGTTGTCTTCATGTCCCAGAGCAGCCTAAGTTGTGGGCTGTACCCTATTCAGCCATCTTGGCTCTCCTGGGTGCTTACATCTTCTTCACTATAGCTCTGTGCTTAGAATGGGGCCCTGCTGAAGCAGTCCCTTAGCTTCTCTAGACTCACCAGGGGGCTTCCAGGGACACCAGAAACCCAGAAATCTGGAGAGACTTCTCACTCCTTCATCATCTCCCAGGCTCACAGAGTGGCAGGATCTGAAGGATTAGGAATGTTCTAGTTCAGACTGTATTTTCAGACTGTGTTTTGTTAGGAACTATGGTTCCTAAAGAATCAAAAGGAAAGGCACTTATCTTGTCTTTTTTTAAATATTTGTTTATTTTTCTCAAAAGTCAGACTAACAGCCAGCAAGGAACAGAAGGAGAGAGATCTTCCATCTACTGGTTCACTCCCCAGATGGATGCAATAGCCAGGGCTGGGCCAGGCCGAAGCCAGGAGCCAGGAGCTTCATCTGCATCTCCCATATGGGTGACAGGGGCCCAAGTACTTGGGCCGTCGTCTTCTGCTTTCGCCATCCCAGCAGGAGTGAGCTGGAAAGGAAGTGGAGCAGCCGGGACACAAACAGGCAGCCCTATGGGAAACAGGCCTCCCAGGTGCGTACCCACTATGCCACAATGCCAACCCCCCTTCTCTTGTTAAGATCGGCATTTCGCTGAAGATTGTGGGGTGAGGGAGAGCAATCTGCTGCTGGAGACTGTGAAACCACAGAACTGGTCCCAAGCCCCATCTTCTAGGTGAGGGGATGCAGGAGTGCACTAACCATCGCTTGGGTGACAGAGCTGTGTCATGCAGGGAGGACTGGTGGACGCCCCGGAGAGGACTCTCCTGTGTGTCACACTTTCTGTTGGGAAGCCAGTGAACGCACAGTTTAAATGAATGATAGAGGAGCTAACTGAGGGAGCAAACTTGGGCCTCTGCCTTCATAAGCTCATACAAACACAGGGCTTGACTTATGGTGTTCTCTCTGGTCAAAGCCTGATGCTTCTACTCTTGTGGTTTCCTTCTCTCAGTTCCACGACCATTAATGTGGAAGGGGAAGGAGTGACTGGGACAGAAAAATTCAGTGCCACCATGACCCTCTTCAAAGATGGGACCTACACGGACCCCTATGAGGAAGATGTGGTTGAGCTGCCGGTCCACTCCATGCTCTACGTGAGCGTCAAGTTGGTGGAAAGAGCCACTCCTTGCCTGCGGTTGCGGAACTGCTATGGCACCTCAACTCCAGACAGAGATGATCCTCTGAAGTATTTCTTCATCGAAAACGGGTATGTGGAGACTGTGGGCTTATTTTTTTGGCTTGAACAGGGTTTAGGGAAACTGTTCATCTCTATCATGTCTGGGAGTTGTGTAAGTTGGTTCACTTCTTTTGGAAATAATTTGATATTACCTATGGTAGCCATGCCCTTTGTCTCAGGTATCTCACGCCTGAGCTTCTAGACTAAAGTACTAAGACAAAATAAGTGGGAAGAGTAAAGAAATGACAACTATTCTGTACTTCATTACTCTTAATTACTTTGGTATTAGGTTCATTGTTCAAATATGTGAGATCAATTAAGTAATGATGGACTATTAGATGTTAACACTGATCAACATTAAAAAGATGTCAAATTATTATCAGAAAAAATATTATTGAAATTCATTAATTGAAAAAAGGGAAGTGCTCAATCAATTTGATCATGATCTATAGATCATGATTCACATCAGTAACAATGCTAGTGAATATGCATCATTGAACTTAGCTGTTGCATCAAGCACGTGCTAAGTAGTAGACATGGCTCCTCGTTAAGTGCTCACGTGACTCCTAAGAGATGGGTATTGCTGTGTCACTTGGCAGACAAGGAAACTGGGGCTCAGGAACATGAAATAACCTGCCCACGATCACTCAGCTGGAAGTAGGTTGGGCCAGAATTCAATATCAGCCTGCCTCATTCCAGAGACTGTTTCCCCAGTACCATCAACCCTATGGATTACGTCCTGGAGGAAACAGGACTAGAAAAAGTCCATGTTGTCACGGTGGAGGGCACCTGGGGGGCTCTTTTATTTTTCTGTTGTTTTAGAAGTTACATCTTTGCTCTTGTCACCCTCACAGCTGCGTTAGTGACCACGAGGAGCATACCGTAATACTGCAGAATGGGGTGTGCTCAGAAGCCCGGTTCTTCCTTCAGTTGTTCACACTCCGTACACCCCAACTTTTCCTGCATTGTGAGACTGAACTCTGTGATGGACCATGTGAGCCAGTGAGTATCCCATGGACTGAACCATTCAGAGTCTGGCAGGGGGCCTGGCACCTGACAGGCTCTCCACATATATGTATTGGAATGCGAGGCGGGTGGATGGGTGGTTGCTTGGATGTCTGGATGAGGGGGATGGGCAGAGAATGGATGAAGATGGGTGCCTGAAGAGCCGAAAAGACTCATGTGAGTGGATGGATGGTTGGTTGGATGTGTGGATGGGTGGGAGGATTGAGTGGGTGGATGGATGTGCGGGAGGGAGGGAGGATGAGTAGATGGATTTCAGGCCTTCTGACATTCCACCTGGAGGCAGTTGTGTCCCTGGAAGGCAGGGCATATAGGAACTGTGCACTCGGTTTCCGTGGGGCCAGCCCTATTTTGAATGATTGCAGTAATAGTTGGCTTGCTCTGTGTCAAGCACCAGGCCGAAACTCTCACAGGCTTTATCTGATTTAACACTCATGAGAACCTTTAAATGGGTTCTTTTGATAAACTCCATTGTACAGATTAGGGATAGAGGCTCATAGAAGCCCCTTGCTAAAGGGTCACACATAACCAGAGATGATCAAATCCAATTCCCATGCCTTTCACACATTTGGCACTGCCTGTGAACAGTTGTCACTGTTGAGTGCTGACTTTGTGGCTTTGTGTGGCAGTCATGCCTCATTCTAACCTTCACACCTGGGTTAGTGCTATTTAATCATCATAAAGAAAAGAAGTCATTGGTCCCAAATTATACAGCTGCAGAGAATGTAAAGGAGAAAAGATTCAAGCCCATTTTTTAACATATCAGTGAGAATTCCTTAGCCTGAGATATTCACAGCATCATATTTAGGGCCATATATTAGATGGGTCCAAGTAATTAGGCCAGGGCTGCCTTTAAATGCATTTCAATTTTGATTTGATGCGAGTTCTCCATCCCTACAGGATTGCCCACCTAGGCAATATCGCAGTGAAAAACCAGACATCGGCTCAACCCAAGCGGAACATTTGGGACCCAGCACTCTGCGAGGTAAGTGGCTGAGTGAGCCCTGGTGATGAGCCCGGCTGGCCAAGTACTAACAGTTACCCACAATGCCTGGGGTCACAGGCCCACCTACTCAGGGCTTTTCTGTCTCCTCCATCTGGCTCCGACTGGTGAATCCTGGGGTAATGATAGCAGTCGTTTGCAGTGGGCCTCCCTCTGCTAGGGATCAGGCTAAGCCCTTGCATTCATGGATTCACTATGTGACTTAATAACTTAAATGACCGTGTCCATTTTACAAGACCCAAAGACTCATTCAAGATCACCCAGCTCAGGAGTGGCTGGGATTAGGATTGAACCTGGCTCCTTCCAATTCCAAAGCACATGGTCTTCTCCTTGTGTCCCTATAATTCAGTCCCTTTTGGGTGCAGTGTAAGTCATAATTCCCATTTAAATGCAACTTTGCTTTCAGTTACAGTATTTTGGAGTATAGACTCGGGGAAGCTTTCCAACTGCTCCTCAAATTTTTATCATCCTATGGCTGGGTTAACAATACTATTATGGCTTTTATTTCCACTGGGGTGGAGAAACCAAGAAACCCAAAATGATGAAAGCAAAATTTTTTTTACCTAAAGAAGTTAAGATGCAATAATGTTAATAGGAGTAGGAGTAATACCATGTACTTCATGCCTGGAACCATGCCAAATATCTTTGTGTCTGTGAATGATCACTCTGAAGGCTCACACAGCCCAGGGAGGTAAGCACTGGCCACCACTCCATGTCCAGATGAGTAAACGGAGGCTGGCTGTCTGTCTGGTGATGAAGGCTCCACTCTGTGTCCATTGATCAGGCCCTCAGCAGGTGATGTCACAGGGTAACTACCAGCGGCAGTGGTTAGGACTTCCTCTTTGGAACATGAAAGACTAGGGTATGAATCCCAGCTCTGCTACTGACTGCAAGGTCAACTAGGTGCACGCCTTGACACTGCTGAGCCTCAGTACTGTCATCTGTCAAGCAGGGGTGAGAATGCTGTCTTAAATTTGTTGGGAGGATTAAGTTGCAAATGCAAGAAAATGTGTCTAGAAAGGTGACGCTTTCACCATGTGGATTGTCAGTGGTTGTGCTGCCCAGGTCCAGAAGGACTTACAGCAGCTATGGCCACCGTGCTGTGGTCACCAGGGCATGACCAAGGAGACCCTCACCACCTTCTCTCGTTCACAGGAGCCCAGGCTCTCCCTGTCGTGAGCGGAACTCCCAGCACTGCAGGTACATCCTTTCTCACGCCTCTCCCACAGCCCTCCCAACACCCTCCCCTTCCGGTAGTCAATTCACTGAGCCTGTATCCACCCCTCCTCTGTTCAGGCCCTTTGGGAGGGGCTGTGAGCACCGAAATGAGTCAGATCTGAGACTGGAACCCAAGATGCTCACTGCTAGCAGAGAAGTCAGCCATTTAACAAAAACACCTGTCAAGTGCCCACCGTGTGCCAGCATTGTTCTAGCACTGGGGAGAGGAGGGTGAACAAGACAGGCCAAGTACCCTATGTTCCAGTACAGCAAATAACAAACAAACAAAAAACCCAAAAGGTAATCTACAAATAAAAGAAGGCAGTCTGATATAAAGTAACTGGCACAAGTCATAATGCCTTAAATAGTATAGAATTTACTTTCACACATGTAAAGTCTGGAGACAAACAGTGTAAGGCTTGTCTAAGGGTGGAACTATGACGTCATCAAAGAGCCTGGCTCCTTCCAGCTTGATCCTCTACCACACTTAAGATGTGATCATCATCTGTATGGTTCAAGGTGGCACCCAGAGCTCCAGCCTTCACATATAGGCAGCAGGACTGGGGGGACATTCCCAGAAGCTGGTACCTTATGCCCCCACTTACATCTCATTGGCCAGTGCTTAGTCACATGGCCATGCCCGGCTGCAAAAGAAGCTGGGAAATGAACTCTTTAGTCAGCCATGTGGCTAGCCAACATTTGATGCCTTTCTTATCAGATGGATAAGTGGTCAGAAACACTGCCAGAGAAGTGATGTTTGAACCAAAGGAGAAAAAGGAGGTGGGTGGGTAGTTACCAGGAGAATGAGCTCTGTAGGCAGAGGGAGCAATAGTTCATTGCACAAACAGGAATCGGCACATAAGCAAGTAAATGACAAGCAAATATATAGTACAGAGGGGGTACAAGGCAGACTAATTAACTGCACTGGATGAGGTCTGAGGACAATTTAATCAGCAGCATTGGGCTAGAGTTTTGACAAATGGCTTGGAGTTCAACAGGCAAGCAAATTGAAGAAATATATTTTGGACAAGTGCATGCATTGAGATTTTGCCACTCCCTGAAATGACCTATATTGGTAAACCGGACATAAACAAGTTCTCTTTTTTTTTAAGAAAGATTTATTTATTTATTTGAAAGTCAGAGTTACACAGAAAGAGAGGAGAGGCAGAGAGAGAGAGAGAGAGAGAGAAAGAGAGGGAGAGTGTTCTTCCATCCTCTGGTTCACTCCCCATATGACTGCAATGGCCAGAGCTGTGTCAACCCAAAGCCAGGAGCCAGGAGCCTCCTCCAGGTCTCCCACGTGAGTTCAGGGGCCCAAGGACATGGGCCATCTTCCACTGCTCTCCCAGACCATAGCAGAGAGCTGGATCAGAAGTGGAGCAGCCGGGACTCGAACTGTTGCCCATATGGGATGCTGGCACTGCAGGCGGTGACTTTACCTGCTATACCACAGCACCGGGCCCAATAAGTTCTTTCCACTCCCAGTTCCCTGCCTAGACAGCAGCTGAAAAATTTTCCCAACAAGCCCAAGATGGCCTTTCTGTGCTTCGTGTTAACAATCAGACAGTACTGAGTAATGTTTATCAGAGAGCATGCTTGGAGCTCAGGGAACAAAGCAGCCTGAAGTCAGAAGTCAGGAAGCTCACGACTTGTTCCTTTCTGCCAGTCATTCAGTGTCGTGAAATGCTTGGGACAGGATGGCTTTCCAGTGGAGTTTGCCGAATTGATTGATCTCTAGGGTGGGTGATGGATTGGGGCTCCTGAGAGGACACAGCAGATCACCACAAGCTGTTGATGTAGCCACAAGATGTTGAGGGAGCAGACTGCCACAAGAGGGCACTTGTGGTTTTCATCTCTCACAACTAATTGTGGATGTTTTAGAATTAATTGAACATCAACCTATATTGAACCCTTATTTCTGAAATCATGATATTTCTCCCCTGACTTCTAGGACATCAGCAAGTTACTTTGAAACCTGGGGCATGGAAGGGTGTTAGCATTTGGTGGTGTGAGGGGAGAGGGTACACATGGTTCTAGGTTGCCCAATATTAACACAGATACAATGACACACAGAAAAATATGGTCCCAGCCCCCCAGTATCTTAGACTCTAACTTCCAAAACAACATTGACATTGGTGTTTACCACAGTCTAGACACTGTTTGAATGCTTGATGTGAATCCATCCACTTCAACCTTAAAAATCCAACAAGGTCAGAGATGCTATTAATATTTCTATTTTGCATGCAGGGAAACTTGAGCACAGAGAGGTTGAGTAACTTGCATGGGACTGCCCAGCGTGATGTAGAGCTCAGATGCTAAGTTAAGTAGTCAGGCTTCAGAGGCAGTCAATAGGAACTCAGGCTCCTTGTAGCGTCTAGTAATTTCTGGCCAGTCCACAATCCCTTGTGGGTCCTGTCGTGGATTCTTGGCATCTGGTCTCTAAGAAGGTTCTTGAGAGATCCCGCAGGATTGTGTAGGATAGTCAATACAGCAGACCTAGAAATGGCCTAGATAACTTCTACTGTGTTTCATTGGCCAGATTCAGTCACATGGTCCCCCTACCTGCAAAGGAGGCTGAGAAAAATTGCCTTCTATGTGCCCAGAAGAAAATGCAAAAAGAAGCACTTGACAATTAGATAGCTTGGCTGCTCCCACATGACTCCAAGACACAAAACACGTTCTGCCTTTGCCATCTCTGTGTAGAAAAGATAAAGAGGTCAAAGCCCAGCTCTTGACAGTCGTGTCTCTTGTGTTTCAGGATTCCTGGTGGCCTGGCCTGTGGTCCTCCTGCCTGTCGTCCTGGCTTGGCTGTTCTGAGAGCTCAGCTGGGCATGTGGCCTTGAAGTTCACGTTCTTCCCCCTGGCAGTGGCTTTGCCTCATCCTTCAGCACTTCTGTCTCGTTTTCCAAATCGTGCAAATAGTCTTAGAATGAGCAGATTCCAACCCTAGCTAGGTCTGGGGAAAGAGAAGAGTGTTCACCTTTAACACCCTTACCACCTTTGTGCTGCTCTTTCTTGTCCTGGTGGTGGTGGTAGTGGGTGGGGGGGCATCTGCCTGTCCTGGCCTGGCCTTCTTGTTCATGACTGTGACCTTGAAAGCAGGCTCGCTAGGCACCCCTGTGGCTGCAGCCTTTTGGAACCCCAGGGAAGAGAGAGATGTCCTCTCGTTGGAGGGGGCGGGTGAGCGCATGAAAGGGGTGCCTCCCTCCACTGCTTCTCAAGCACCTGCTGTCCTGATTGCTGATCAATTAAACAGATTGACCCTTGTGTGCACTGCCGCCTCTGGTGTGTTTCTGTTACGGGCTCAACAGTGGCCATGGCTACATGGGAAGGGGACAGACACTTCTGTGCTCCAGGGACGGCTGGTCCCCACCGCTGCCCTGTCCCCACCCCCCTGCAGGCATGCTGTGACTTGCCCTAAATGACACGAACTCCTACCCTTGGGGTCTGCATGTTGGAGAAACTGCTTGGTTTGATGCTGAAGCACCCTCGTCGCCACAAAACGCCTCTCGCTGTGGGGTGCGTGTGGTGTGACTGCTCTGCAGGGTTAATCCGGGTCCTGGCAGTCACGGATGCTCTGACCGCGCCGTGGGAATGCGGCGCAGCCTGGGAGATGGGGCACAGCGCCTTCAGGAGCCCTTCAGTGGGCTCTCACAAAGCACCCCACAAAGGTGCCGCAGACAGAGAACGCTCCTTCCCCCACAGCTACACACCAGGACTCTCCCCGCTGCCCCCACAGAAAATGTCAGGGGCCCTGACCCCACCCCTGGGGGTCGGGCCTGCTTATTTGATGAGAGGAAACTTGCCCATGTGTTGCTTTGTTCAGAGGCAAGAAAGGAAAACCCACTCCAGCTAACTTGGGAGGAGGGGGACTCACAGCCAGGGTGCAGGAGCACAGGGTCCAAGGAAAGGAGACGCGTCCTGCGTGCACACGGTGGGTGGGGGGGTGGGGTGGGATCTAAAACCACGAGAAACCAATGTCCGTTCGCCCTCCCACTTCCCAGGGCCTCGCCGCCCTTCACCTGGGCTTCTCTGTGTGTTTCCTTCATCTCTCACTGAAGCCGGCTTTCCCTGCTCACTCATGCATTCCTTGATTACAAATAGGCATCCCAGCTTCATATCACTTTGTAATTCAGCGGCCAGTAGAGACCAATTAGCATCCTGCTGTCCCACATCCAAATTGCATCAGGGAACCTGACTTGGCTGCTCAGGTCAGAGTGCTGCTCTGGTCCCCTTGTCGGAGGCCAGCTGGGTAGGACTAGCTAGCACAGCCGTAGCAAACGAGGCTCACCTGATGGGGCACGTGTCAAAGAAATGGTGCTGCTTCCTGGTTAGAGGGTTCATATCACAAGGATCCTCCAAGAAGTTCATGGACAATGGAATCAAAGGCCAAGTTTCTTCTGGTGCAAAAATTTTTGAAATCCATGCATGCCATGGCAAGAGCCTTGGATGATCACTGACGTCATACAAAGAGTGTGAATTGTTAAAGGAACAATAGTCACTGTGCACTTGCTCCCCAGGTAGGACCTCTGTCCCTAATGAATTGTAATATGAGAATCAACTGCAAATTCTCTCCTCAAACTGTACTCTATGTTGTGTGTGTGCATGGGGGCAAATTGTTGAAGTCTCTGATTAACGCAGAGTTGGTCCTCTGTACATAAAGTCATACTAAAAATGAACCATAATGAAGAAGGAGGTGGGAGAGGGAGAGGGAGGTGGGATGGGAGCTGGAGGGGGGATATATGGGGGGAAAGAACCACTATATTCCTAAAGCTGTATCTATGTAAAAATGCATTCATTAAGTAAAAATTAAAAAAGAGAAATCCATGCATGGTATTTTCATAATACATATTTTCTGTGCACTTTTTGGAGACTCCTCATAGTACATTCCAAGGGAGGTGGGATGGTAGGAACAGACCTGAAAGAGACACCAAAGGGTTCTAAGCTCCCCTTCCATCCCCTCTGCACCAGGATACCAATAGCTGTGCAGCAGCCTTGCGCACCAGGAGCTGAGAGTCTACCTAGGAAAACAGGACAGGCAGATTCCAGCGGGCAAAGCTAAGAAACAGAAGAATAAGACAGACGCTGCTGCAGGGTTCCGAGAAGAGAGAACTCAGTTCAGCTGGGAGGAGAGAGGTGGCCGTGACCCCAGGGAGCTGAGTCCCTTCATTTTACAAGTGGAAACGGAAGCTTAGCCAAGAGAAGTGTCATGTCCACTCTCAGTCTCCTAGGAGATCGGCTACGACCAGGTGAGTGTGAGGGGTGGGGAGAACAGTGGAGCTGGGAAATTTGGGAAGGGCACCCCATAAGGCAGGTTCCACCAACCTAACTCACTCCATCAGCTCTCCTCCCCTCCTTCCTCTCCTCCAGCCTCTTCCTGTGAAGGGCTGGACATATTACTCTCATTTTCCTTCCTTATTGTATTAGAATCCTCCTTCAAAGGCTCTCTTAAATCCACCTGCTTACTTCAGGACTATTGACCTTGACCTTTGCTAAGCCTCTGTCATCTCTTAGCTGCAGTGCTATGATTGCATTCCTTCTCCAGGCGCACCCCTCCCACGCCATTCTCTGCTCTGCAGCCAGTGAGCACTTGAAGCAGAAGCCACTTCCTTCTTGCGATCCCTGCAGTAGTCCTTTACCTTCCACGGGATGAGCTTTGCCTGCTCAGCCGGCCGGACGCAGTCCTCCGCAATCTGAGCCATTGCCTGCCTCTGCAGCCTTAGCCTTTGCCCCATCCCCTGTCTGAGCTGTCTGCCAGCTACACGGACCTCACTCGGTTTCTAGGCTGTCCTCTCTCACCTTGCTGCACGTTGCATGCGCTCTCCTTGCTGCCTGAGCGCCCCTGCCCCCTGCTGGGAGTGCTGCCTTCAGGACTCAACTTCGGGGTCATTGGTCCCGTGACACCTCCTGACCCTGCTGTCCAGTCTAGAACGGATCACACCCTGCTTTGTGACCCTTGTCTACAGACCCTTATCACATGCACCACCCCTCTCTGACATGCTCTGTTTTCACCTCTATCCCACACTTCAGGGAAAGGACATTCCTATAGTCAAATATTATTTGTCTGAATAAATGCAAAACCGGGCTGCATCCATTCTTCCTTATGAACGCCTTTGCCTCCTAAATAATCATCGCATCAGCTCTGGGAGGGGAAGAAACAGCTTCCTACCAGAAATAAAGACGACTCCCACTTGGATGGATAAGATGATAGAGCCTGGGTGGGGGCTGGCGCTGTGGTGTAGCACATATTTGCCCTCTTCTTAGATGTGACCAAAAGAAGGCCATTTAAAACAAAATCTTCATGCTTCTCAGAAATAGGTCTTGTGAGAGCTTGTGGGAGGCAGAGCCCTCAGCATCCCTCAGCATGAGGAATAGCACTTAATGAATCTGATGGACTTCGATACTTACACTTTACCCATCAGCGTGTCAATCACAAGTCCTTTGAGATAGGGGCTCTTATTCCATGTGCTGAGAAAGAAGCTGAGGCCCAGAGAATTTTAAGGAACTCCTCAATATCAGAAAGATACCATGTGCCCTGCTGTGTATTTGGTGCCTACGGTGACTCAGCATTTATCTCACAGGTTTACCGATGAGGAGTCGAGATTCAGGAACATGAGAGTAACCTGCTCAAGTTTGCACAGGGAGGCAGTGACAGAATCCAGTCCTGAACTCGAGTTTGCTTACATGTAATTGAGGGGTGGGGGGCATTGTGCAGCAGTGCGTTAGGCCACCACTTCGGACACCAACTTCCCAAATTGGAGTGCTGGTTAGAGTCCCCACTACCCCACACTTCCGATCCAGATTCCTGCTAACACACCTGGGTGACAGTGGATGATGGCTCAAGTACTTGGTTTTCTTGTGGTAGACCTGGATGGAGTTTCTGGCTCCTGACTTTGGCCTTGCTCAGTTTTGCCTGTGGCAGGCATTTGGAGAATGAACCAGTAAATGGGAGATTTTTCTCTGTCTCTATTGCTCTGCCTTTTAAATAGATAAAATTAATCAAGTGCTCATTCTTTATGCCATGCAACCTCCCTGCATGACCTGAGGACAAGCAAAAATCCATCTCAGATTGTGGCAGGAGGTGTGTGTGTGTACTTGTGTGTGAGTGTGCATGTGTGCGTGTGTGTGCACGTTTGTGTGTGTGAGTGGTAGCAGCCACTAGTTAATGCCAGCAAGGCCAAATGATACTAAAACGACCCTTCCTGAGTCACTTTCAAGGTCTTTTCCCCCTCAGCTGGGACTCAGCAGAGTCACTGGGCCTGGGAGCCCTGGGGAGAGCTTCAGAGATGATCTAATCCAAGTTTGTCCACAAGGGAACAGACACACGGGGTGCTTTGGAGCTGGATTCAGGAAATTCATATTTGGGCCTGACTTCTGCTGATGTGTGAGTCCAGGAAAGTCACTTAGCTTTCCTTGAGTCAGCTGTCAATTAAGATAATGACACCCCTCTGCTCTATGTGCTGATCTGCGATTGTGTCATCAACAAACTGCGATGTCAAATCTTCCTGCTCCAGCACAGCCCTCTTTTTGTGGAGCTGGGGGCTGTCCCACTGGAAACCTGGCCTCAGAAGGCTCTGGTTGGTTCAGAACCCGGGACAGCAGCTCTCTAGTCTGGACAAGCCAGTGAGGGAGACCTCATTCCCTTGATTCCTCAGGGCTCTTTGTGGAGATGCTGGTGAGCGAGCTCTGGGGCACGGCCAGTCATTCCTTACTCTTCAAGGACTCAGTGGAACGAGTTGTCCTTGTCAAGTGTTCCCCTCTGGTTGGGACTCATCAAGTGGAAAAGTAGCACTTAGAATAGTCTTCAAAACAACTTGTGTCTGTTGGCTCCGCTGTTGACAGCAAGGGTGGCTGTAATGAATAAGGTGATAGTCCTTTGCAGCCACATAATGCTCTGGCTATAACTTATTGACTTATAGTAGAGTTTGCACATATCCCATGTGTGCGGCTGGATGAATTTTAACAAAATGAGCACTCCCAGGTAACCATGTAATAACCACATCTGGTCAACCACTATCCCAGCTTTCAGCACCTTAGGGTAGGTTTGTAAACAAGGAACCATCCCATATGTATCTCTTGAGCCCAGCTTCTTATGCCCCGTCTTATCTTTGCGGATTGGATCCTTGTTGTTGCATTTTGTACTTTGATCTTTCTAATTGCTGGCATTTTCTATTAAAAGAATGCAGCCTAATTTATTGATCCATTTTACTGTTGATGGACACATGAGATTGTTTCCAGTTTTCAGCTGTTGAAAAGTGTGCTGCTTTTATGTA